GGTTTCCCTTTGCCTGGCCGACGTTCACTCAGATTCAAGGTGCAGTCAAACTCTTTTTCAGTCCCCTGAACTGGAAATTGAGCCCGATAATCCCGTTGGTTTTTTTAGCAGCATCATTTCTATGTGTGAACACAAACCTCCCACAGACACTACGAGTTATTTCCCTTGATCCTTTCAAATAAGCGCAGGAGTCGACGCAAGGAGGAGGGCATCGCACGGAAGACAAGGGGTCAGGCTTTTAGTGCCCAGACATGCTTGTGCTGGAGTTTACGCTGCCCAGACACACACCAAATCTAGCGCTGAACACCTTGCTGGGTGGCAGATTTGCTGCCTGTCTGGCACCTCGGTGTTTAAAGACTTCAGACCTCCTACTCCTGCCTGGCACCCAGACGATGCCTCCGATGACCGGGCAGCTATCTGGAAGCACACACCACGGGCAGCTGAATTAAGTCGCCCCGTGAGATGGAGAAGGAGAGTGGACAAGTGACCACAGGGGCAAGTCCCAGAGCAGCATGGACTGCACCCAGTCAGCCTGCAACGCTGCCCTCCGCTCCCCAGGATGCAGGGACATGGCTGTGTATTATGTATACCCAGTCATTAAGCTTTTGATTCATCCTGCCCTGATGTGACCCTCCTCTTGAATCCTGACCCAAGACCCCGGCCTCCCCAAGGAATCTGCAGTCCCTGCTCTGCAGCGCAGCCCTCTGACGTCAGACGCAGTGATTTGACCAGTACAAAAGAAACCCCAGCACACCTGAAACCTTGCGGATGGCCAACACATCCAGCTGAAGCTGCTAAATGCAAAGGTCAAAAGGAGGAGCAAACCCTGCTATTAATGAGCCCCTAGACGTACGCGCACAGGGCCACCCCCAGCGATGGAGCTGGGCTCTCAGGGCAGGTCTGGGTGCCAGCCCCACGCCGTAGAGATGGTCACCAAAGCTCCAGGAGCCCGTCCCAGTGCTGGCGTGTATCCTGAGCCGTACTATTCCATTTATTCTAACCCTCTCTCCATGCCTCAAAAGCTTTCCTTGCATCCTACAGGTAAGGAACCACCCAAAGGAGACAGCAAATGGCTTTCCCCTATAGCTAAGCCCCACGGCACTTGCACGGCGACACTGGATGCTGTATGGTAAGCTTCTCACGGGGCCAAACGCCCGGCAGCTGCCTGCTGTAGTCACAGGGACATCTGCCTGCTTGTCCCAACAGCTGTGCCTGGGGCCACTCTCCGCAGGAAGCTCAAAGCCAGGAAGCTGAAGGCAGTCTCCACATGACCGCCCTGGCGTGGGGTTCTCGTTTGAAAGATTTCCCGTTTCCAGCCGCGAGCACGCTGGCTGATGTCGATGGTTCGTTGTTAGCAGAGCTTCCGACATTCGCCTCTCAAAACGCTCAGCTGCCTGACAGCTCCTTTTTAATTCTGGCCCAATGACCCAACCGCCGTTGAGCAGAGAGTGGGGAATTAGGAAGTGATTAACAAGCCCCTTGTTGGAAGTTATTTGTGCACTTTATGATAATCCCCTTCAGTGAGGACTTTCCTTACAGTGACAAACGGCTAGGCAAGTAATCCACTTGATACCAAACTGGCATTTATTTCAGCAAACCCACCTGCTAATGTGTTTGAACAGCGCTGGGCAAGTCCCCACGCAGCTGGGCACGGCAGTGGGGAAACCAAGCGACAGAACCCACCCCAGCAGTCCCCAAGCCACCCTGCGTGCCTGCAGCAGGAGGGAAAATCGTTTTTGCCTTTTTTTTCCTCCAGAGACACTAATAATTTCCATAGGCAGAGAGAGCAGGGGTGTGCTTCTGCACAGGAAGGGTGGCATCAGAAAGGAGTCACTTTAAACATAGCTGCTGGAACAGCCAAGAGGAAGAAAGTAAGAGGTTTATTGTATTTAAAACCACCCTGTGATGGATACTGAGATGAATTGTTTCAGGCTGCAATTGTTTGTGTGTCTCTGAAGAGGAAGAGACACTTGGTGAGACGGGGGGACGTGTGAGCATCCCTCCTGCTGCTGCTGCCGGCACCGGGGCAGAGCGATCCTGCAGCCACCTGCTGCCATCCCAGCACACGGCAGCTCCAGCACTCCTCCGGCCAAAATCTGGGGATTTCCTAGCGCTTAGTGATTTCTCCTACAACTCTGTCTCCCTTTGGGCTCATTTAAAACTCAGCTCTGCACCACAAAACAACTCCGGTGTCTGGCAGAAACATGAGGGAGCTACAGGAAGTCTGTGTCCGCAGCGGTGGGGAAAGCCGTCGTCTCTCCTTTAATTTTTGGGTGCCCCTCTCTATGTTGTTTCAGTTAAAAGGGGTATTTTTGGGACAAAGACGATTAAGTTGGAGAGGAACTAGATAAAGACTGATGTCTGGAAAGTAGAACCTGAACAAGACGTTAGAGCAGCTGTTGAAGTGTCCTGCCATACTGACAGCTGCATGACAGTCTTCATCAGTCCCCTCCTTGCTGCTACCTTCAGAGAAGGAGGGAAGACTTATTTTAAATTGATTTCTGCCTCAATATTTTCCTGGGTTTTGCGGAAAGGCTAGTGTTCATGCTGATATTTCAAGGAGCGGCTTATTTAGGTGTTTGGATTTTTTTTTTTTTTAAATAATGATGGAGGAGAGGAAAAAAATCCTGAAAACAAGCCAGTTCCACTTCGCACCTTCAAAAAAGGCTCCAGCTAAAAGAGGTGGCATGGAAAGCAGCAGCTCTTAGCACAAAGAGAGGCTTTGATGCCTGAGGAAACGAGTTGAAGCAACAACTGAAGTCTGGTACTCCTGGGGGAGGCTGTGCCATGCAGGAGGGGATGCGTGAGCCCTGCATGCAAACACTGCACTGGGCGCTTAGCTGAGACATCCCTGCTGTTTGCTCCAAGGCGAATACATTCAGAGGCCACTGCGACATCAGACTGGAGATGTATTTTCAGTAGAAAACAGTATCTTCCCAGCTCAGTTCTGCCCTGCTTTTGGCTATAGCGCCCTTGGAAGCCGTTGGCACATGCTTCCAGCTCCTCCTGTGCTGTCAGCGCAGCAGCCGCCTCTCCACTACCGCCACGACGCATTTCAGCTCCTGCAGCATCAGCAGGCTCACTGCACCGCCTAGGTAAGCAGCAAAGGTTGGATCTGCTCAGAGGGGCTGTCCCAGGGCTGCAAACCCCAAGGCCAGAGTCAGAAGGTGCAGGACAACTCTCCCTCCTCTGCTTGTGGAAGGAGAAGTTGGGGGCAAACAGAGGGACACGAGCCAAGGCACCAAACACGCACTTACTGCCTGAGCTGGTGCAAGAAAGGGCTTTCCCTCCCTGGTTTTATTCTTGAATGAAGACTGTGCAATCTCTTGGGTTAAAAAGGGGATGCTGAGAAACTGCTCTGTCAACTGAATGTATGCACTGGGGTTTTTTCCTTCCCCTGGCAAATTTGGAACAGCACTGTCAGTTTTGCCCAGACTCCTTCATTTCCCTTGGGATCAAGAGTTTGACTAGAAACTTTAACAGCAGGGAAGCATTAGGTTGTGAAATTATCCTTCCTGCCATCTAAACAGGGTCATATCGCTGCAGGGTTTGGGGCGGGGGGAGGAGGACCCCAGGGAAAAGCGATGTGCTGGAAGCGGCTGTCCTGATTCAGAAAGCAGCCCGGCAGCCAGCGCTGAGCTCAGACCATGGCACTCCTGCTACAGAGCTCCGAGACCCCCACGGGGACGACGTTCAAAGGCAAACATGAAAGCACAGTGCACCTGCAGGTGTGCCAGGGAATCCTCCGCTCTTGGACCGCTCACCCCAGAGATCACATCACCCTTCCTCCTGTCCATCTCACGCTGGGCAGCGCGTGCGGGTGGTGCTGGGGGTGGTGGAGGGCAGCAAAGGGCTTCAGCTGGCTTTGCCAGCCCTCCCGGATGGGGCCAGAGCCGATTCAACCCAGGTGGGCTGGCAGAACACTGCACACCAGGGATGGGACCTGAGAAAAAGAGCATCATAGCAGACTGATCCTTCTGCACCAGCTGCTTTCCTCTGGGCCCCCCAGTTGCCCCTGTGCTGACACTGGTCATTCCCAAGGAAAAGGTACTGGCCGTGGCTTTACTGTCAGGATGCTGCCCAGCGCGGGGAATGCCGTACACGTCTGATCTGAGAAATGTGCTCGGGCTGTAGGAGGCAGGAGCCTTCCCTGGAAAACCCAGAGACTTTTACAGCTGTTAGGAGTTCAGTAAAGTATAATTAAATCCAAATTCCTCACGGAAGGTTTAGATAAAATGCAGCCCTGGAATGCGGTGCCAAAAGGGGGATCGGCCACTGCTCTTGCCAAGTCAGAAATTTGCTTAATTGCTTCCAAATTGCGTTCTCCTGCGGCTGGGATCTGACCCAGCAGAGGCAGAAAAAGTCTATTGACATTAAAAAAAAAAAGAAAAAATGGATTCTTTGGGAACATTTTATGCTTCTTTATCTGCAACTGTCCAACTTCAGGAAAATGTGCACTATTTTAAGATAGTTCTGAAAGAATTTATTTTGGTGGGTTTTGTCTCAAAGATCCCGATCAACGCTCACAATTAAATACCCACCCTTTAACAAGATCCTGGAGCACAGCTCCAGCCCTGCTGTCCTCCTTTTTCTTAATCAAGAAGGGAAGTTTTAGGAACTTCTCAAATTTTATTCTCGTGCTGGCAAATATCCTCCTGGTGAGTTCTGTTTATTTTAGAAATTAAACGTCAAATAAAGCCAGCTGCTTTTGGGCCAGTTCTTTCCCTCTTACAAACAAAAGCCACCACGTTCCTGCAGTTTCGTAGCTTTGCCGCTCCTGCGCCTCCACAGGTT